GGGTCTGCGGGTCTGGGGTCTGCAGTCTGCGGGTCTGGGGTCTGCGGTCTGCGGGTCTAGGGTCTCCGGGTCTGGGGTCTCCGGGTCTGCGGTCTGCGGGTCTGGGGTCTGCAGGTCTGGGGTCTGCGGGTCTGCGGGTCTGGAGTCTGCGGGTCTGGGGTCTGCAGGTTTGCGGGTCTGGGGTCTCCGGGTCTGGGGTCTGCGGGTCTGGGGTCTGCGGTCTGCAGGTCTGGGGTCTCCGGGTCTGGGGTCTGCGGGTCTGGGGTCTGCGGTCTGCGGGTCTGGAGTCTGGGGTCTGGGGTCTCCTGTCGTTCTGCCGCTCTGCTTCTGCGGGTTCTGGCTCTGTTGTGAGCTGCGCACGACGCACTGGGGAAGGCTTCACCTTCTCAGTGTCTCCCCCGTGGGCAGCACCCCGTCTTCCCCGGTGAGAGGGCACACGCTCCTGGAGGTCAGTGGAGCCACTCGAGTCCCCTTTTCCGAGTGTTTCTGTGGGATGTTTCGCGGTTTCCCTCCCCGACGCCCTGTTGGAAGCCTCTGCTTGTGCCGGCAGATGGGGCTGTAGGTGTGCGTCTCCCGTCTCCCGCTGACGGTAACGTCATTTCTGCCGCACTGGGGCAGGTGCCTCCCGTGTTGTGTTCTGTGGGGTCTCCGTGTTTGTGACTCCACTTCCTCTCTGTGGCCCGGAAGGACAGAATTACTTGGACTGTTTTAATCGTCTGTGTCGGTCCCTCTGTTGTGGTTCTGTCTGTCTGTGCAGTACGTCTAGGTTCTAAGGACCACAACGTGCTCAACTTTCACTGTGGTTTTAAGCAGGTGCGTGCGCAGCGTGGAACCCCACACGGGACTTGACCGCATGGCCCCGAGATCAAGGCCCGAGCCGAGTCGAGTTGGACGCTCGGCCGACGGAGCCCCCAGGCGCCTGCAGAACACACTCAGCTCTTAACATCTTCCTGGAGCACTTGGTATTTTGCCCCTTAACTGGGGTGTGGGTCCTTACCCCCAAGGGTCCCGTCATCACCCCCCATATCTAGACCGAAAACTCCCGTCAGAAAACATCCTAACTGCCTTTCTTTCCGCCGTCAGACATGTTCTGACGAGCTCAGGTCTGTCTGCAGTTTTGCGTCCTCGAGGGCGTCCCAGCCTCATCCTGATGGTGCTGACGTCCCGTCAGACCTTCCGTCGCTGGCTGGAGTCTCTTCATTGTCTTTCACTTGGGAAATCCCACCTGTGTCCATGAACGGTGTTTTCACCGGCCGCGGCGTCCGGGGAGGACAGCCTTGCTGTCTTCACCCGCGGCGGCTGGGGAGGGGCTGCCCCTCGCTGGGTGGGCGTGTGCCCCCACCACTGCGGTCAGGGTTCTTCTGTCTTGGGTTCCCGCCGTTTGAGGAGACACGTCTGGGTGTGGGTTTCTCGGCTTCCTGAAGCTGTGGGTGTGTGTCCTGCGCCACAAATGGGCGAGTTCCAGCTGTCCTGTCCGCGGGTCGCTCCTCTTCCTTCGGGGGCCCCCAGGGGGACAAACAGACCTTTAGTGTCTGTCCCACAGGTGTCTGGGGTCTGACTCCCCCCAAAATGGTTTTCTTTCCTTTGTTTAGGTTGGATGATTTCCGTCCCCCTGTCTTCAGTCACGGTCACTGACTTTTCTGTCACGTCTGTCTGCTGGTCTCTCTGTCCAGTGAGTTTTAACATTTTGCTTTTCAGCCCTCACGCGTCCGTTTCGCTTCTCTTAACCGTCGGCTTCTGTGCCGACTTTCATGTCTTCACGTCTGTTGAAACGTCTGTGAACTTTGTCCAAGCGCTTCTGCAGTTGCTACCGCAGAGTCCGTGCCGGGCAGTCTCGGTAGCCGGGTCTTTTCATCCTTGGCGTCCGCTGAAAGTCCTTCCCTCTGAGCTGACATTTTGAGGGTCTTTGTGTCCCGACTAACCGTGGGTTACATTCCAGACATGTCTGGATCGGCTTCGGGTCCTGTCTGACTCCTGGGCGACTGTCCATGTCAGCGTTGTTAGGGTTAGGTCCACGACACCCACCACGGTCTGTGGGCTGGTCCTCGGGCTGGGACTGGGTGCTGGTCCACAGGCTCCTGGGTCTGCCACACGCATCTGCAGCCCGGCGGTTGGCCTTGGCCCGGCGGTTGGCCTTGGCCCGGCGGTCGGCCTTGGCGGTCATAGCCACCTCGCGGCTGCTTCCCGAGCTTCTCCCTCTGGCTGGGGACCAACCCTGTCTGCTCCTTCAGCCAGAGACATAGGGCCTTTGCCGTCCTGCTCTGTCATGCCCTTCCGTGATCCGAAGGCCACTTCTGGGTCTACGCAGCGGCAGTGCAGAGAGCACAGCAGTCCCGGGCTCTCGGAGCCAGAGCTGCAGTCCACCCCACGGGCTCCTGCAGCCAGCGCGCTCGCTGCCAGCGGGCCTGTCTGTCGGCTGCTCCGTCATCCTGGCCGGCTCTTCTCTGGGCACTGGCTTCTGGGCCGAGGCTGTCCTGAGCTCTGGCGGGGGTGCAGACGTGGAGATCCGGGTCTGCTGTTGCTTCCCATGTGCTGCTGCGCTGCCCCGTTCGGAGCGAGCGCTTAGCTCCTCTAGCGGCGCTGCGGGAGGGATGGGCCGCGTGCCTGACCCACCGTCCTTGGACCAGGAACCTCTGCTGAGAGCTTTAGGATCTTGGGACCCTCGCTGACCGTGGCCTTGCTCTCATGGGTGCCACTGCCCGTCCTGGCCAGACCTCAGCACACGCGTTCTGAGCACGCGCTGCCTCGGCCCTCCTCCCCGCGCCTCCATCCCTCCCTCGGGTTTCACCCAGTTGCATCCCTCCTCCTCCGTCTTCTGGGGACTAACTCTCGCGCCAGGGGGTCTGCTCTGACCTCTCTTCGATTTCAGTCACTCTCCCTGTCCTGTCCCACTGGCTTCTTTTCGGAAGTCTGGGAGGGTGTTTCTTATTCCCGCCTGCTTTTGTTTTACACGTTGAGTTTCCCTGATGATTTTTAGTCTCCCCAGAGAACGTTCCATCTTCGCCGCTTGTCGGGAGCTGCTTGTGGCGCCCGGCCCTGTGGCTCTGGTCTTGGCTGGGCCGTGCACAGGACATCTTGGGCTCTGGTGCTACTGTGCCCTCGTCTCCCGGTTCCCCTCCTCGTCCTCCTGCTGCTGATTACTGTGGGCTGGGGCAGCCTCCTCTGGGCCCTGTGGCTTCCCCGCCGAGACCCTCATGGCCCCTGCCCATCCGTCCCCCTGAAGCCAGTGTAGGTCCAACCCCAGCAGCCTCTGCTCGGCACTGCCTCTGGCCTCCCGTTCCCCCATCCGTGTCTGCCACGTCTGTCCAACTGTGGTGATGGTCACTGTGTGTGCAGTCAGACACTTGGACACGACGAGCTCCCTGTGTAGCCAGGCCCGGAAGTCAGGCTGCCGACCCATCCGCACCCCAACCCAGCACCCGGCACCCAGCACAATGAGGGGAGCAGGTGAGCCCCCAAGGACAGACGTGGGACAAGCTCTGGGGGTGTGGCTGGGGCTGCTTCCTGCCTCCACGTCCGCCTCCGCCCCGCATCCCCAGCCCCACGCTGCCGTGTGCGGTCCCGTCCTCCACGGGGCGCTCCTTCACACCTCCCTGCTGGCAGCGAGCGCGTGCCATGCTGGACGCGCTCTGGCACTTTCTGCATGCCAGTGACCTCGTCTGCTCAGAGGTTCCAGGGACAGCGGCTGGGGACTCAGCCCCGAGTGTCCTGTTGTCTGTCAGCCGGGCCCCTCCCCCACACAGAGACTGGACGACAGGGTGCTATTGCCAACTGTTTATTCAGGCCCGCACGGGTGACCAGTGACATGCAGTCTGCCTGGGCCCACGGCACACTGACCTGCGCCGCCGGCCCTGCTGGTGAGCAAAGGAGTTCCCAGAGGAGGCCCGACCGAAGGATACGTGTGCTGCGGACGGTCGCGGGGCACAGGCCCTGGGGGAAGAGGGTGGAGGAAGGGCAGGGCCCGTGTCCAGTGCATCCCAAGCCAGCCGGGGGGGGCGACCCCCGCGCTGAAGGTCACAGCCGTGGGAGGCGGTGTGTGGTGTGAGCGTGGGGGGGGGCAGGCCGTCCCCTCCCGGCGGTCCTGCTGGACCCGCGTCTAAGGCTTGACTGTCCCGAGTGTGTCTGCCCGCCACACGGTCGGAGCCCTCGGGAAAAGGCTGCAGGCCTCTGTGCCATCTTCAGCGGGTCCCAGCAGCCCCAGGACACTCCTGTCGGCCAGTGCCCCTCTCAGCGCCTTTGGCTGCCAAACCAGGAGATAAAAGGGTAGGGACGCGGACGCGGGGCCTGGTGGATGCGCACCGTGCGGGGAGAGCGCCAGGCTTTGATGGTGGCGTCGTCGCTGGCCGTCAGCAGGAGCTCCTGCTCTCGGGGACTGAACACCACCGAGTTGACCACGTCCTGGTGCCGCAGCTTAGCCAAGCAGATGTTGTAATGCCGGTCCCAGATGTAGCCATGCCGGTCCTCTGCCCCGCTGCGGGGGAGCCTTGGTGAGACCCTGCCACCGCTCCCAGCCCCAGCCCTGCCCAGCCCCACGCGCCTACCTGGCCACGAAGTCCCTGCTGACGTCCAGGAAGATGAAGAAGCACTCGTCGTTGGGTGTGTAGGCGCGGTGCGCCCGCAGAGCCCGCTTCACCTCCCGCATGGTCTTGAGGTCAAACACCAGCAGGTCGATCTCCTCTGCGATGGGCGGTGGCTGCATGGGGTCGGCCACCACGGAGCCGCTAGGCCAGGCCCGGCTGTTGACGTACAGGTACCTGGGCGAGGGGCACCCTGCTTGGTATCAGTGGCCTGCAGAGACCCCCACCCAGGACACTCTCAGGGACCCACCTGTTGTCTGGGGACAAGCCCATGCCGATGATATGTCCGTGCACATCGATGACGTGGTCCAGGGCGTCAAAGAAGGCATCCGAGCCCCGGCCCTCGCCCAGCACAGGCCCAGCTGTGGTCATCTGGTGCGGCAGGATCTGCTTGATGCCTGCGGGAGGGCCGGGGGAGAGCAGCGGCCTCTGAACGAGGGGCCCCCACGGAACGTGCACTCCAGGCAGCTGGACCAGGGCGGGGCTCCCAGGACAAGCGGAGGAGGCCGACTGTGCCCACAGACTCCAGCCCTGCCCTTGGCCAGGGGACACCAGCCCAGCGGCGGGGAATCGTCAGCCCCCAGGCTCCAGGGAGGCAGGAGGGCCCGCTCCCCTACCGATCTGGTGTGGTGAGTAGGTGAGGCAGCCGGTGGTGAAGATAAGCAGCTTGTGGGCGTTGGCCATGCTGTGCTCTGGGGGCTTGGTGCGGCCCTGGGCCAGCAGCTCGGCCACTTTGGTCTCCAGCGCGTGCTCCGACAGCTGGGGCTGCGCCCGCCCATCCAGGAGCCCATCCAAGAAGCGCCGCAAACCCTCCTTGGTGCGGGCCGGAGCCGGCCCTGGCCCTGGGCCTCCCGCCTCGTCCTCACTGTCGCTGCCCAGGTCAAAGACGCGGCCGGGGGACGCGCCGGCGTCCAGCAGGAGGTCAGGGCTGTCAAAGCGGCTGCAGTCGGCCACCATCACTGTGCGGATGGTGCTGGCGTTGAGGTTCTGAATCTTGAAGAGGCGTTTCACTACGTTGACGTTCTCTGACTCCACGTCCTGGGGTGGGAGACAGCAGGTGGGCACCAGGCCAGGCAGGGGGCCGCCGCAGGGGGCCGCCGCAGGGGGCCGCCACAGGGGCCGCTGCAGGGGGCCGCCAGCCCGCACCTGGAAGGCGTTGTTGAGCCAGAGCACTGAGCAGGAGGTAATGTCCCCGATGCGGTGCAGGTTCCCCGAGATCAGGCTGGTCTCCGTGAGCCAGCAGCCAAACACGTCGTAGGGCTTGTTGCGTACTCGCGACAGCAGAGCGAAGTTGTCTGGGGGGGGGCGGGGGCAGGGCTGTGGGAAGGGGCTGGGCGGGGTGGGGGAGGGCACAGGGCTTTGTAGGAGGAGGGGTGGGGGTGGCCCTGACCGCCCGCCCTCACCTAGGCTGATGACTGCGATCTCACCCGACGAGGAGTTGTGGGGCCCCAGGAACACCCCGGACGCCAGCAGCAGCGAGTCGTCCCGGTTGAACTGGGAGAACTGGGTGTAGCTCCAGTTATAGGGCCGCATGTCCACGCTGCGCCGCAGCGAGACGGTCAGGCCATTGTTCCAGATCTGCAGGGGGGCGGAGTCATCTGGGGGCCTCCTGAGCCTGCCCTGCGCGGGACCCCAGGGCCCAGGCTGCAAGCCCCTCTCCCAGCTGAGCTCAGGCCCAGGAACCAGCAGCAGGATGGGGCTCCTTGCCCCTGGCTGCCCGCTGACCCGAGGGGTGTGGGTCCATGTGGCTGGCTCCTGGCCCTGGAGCACAAGTCGCTTCCCTCCATGGGCAGCGTGGGCCGCAGCTGCCGGGGGCCGGGCTCACCTTGACGGTGCAGTCCTTGGAGCAGGAGGCGAACTGGTAGCCCGAGTGGGAGAAGCTGAGGTGCAGAACCTGGTCCGCGTGCTCCCTGAGCGTCTGGACCTCCACGCAGGGCACCGTGTCATAGAGCCGCCGAAACTCTTCGTACCAGGACGTGGCCGCTGGGGGCGGGGGGTGGTCACCGCTGGGGCCCTGAGCCTCCTTTCCCACAGAGGCCAGCACCCTGACAGCGTAGGGGACATCACCCCAGCTGCACGGGTGCCCCTGGCACCCCGAAGCCCCTGCCTCCCAGCCAGGCCTGTACTGAGGCGTGGCCCGGCTGCTCCCCATCCATGTGAGGGCCGCGCGGTGCCCTGGTGACCGCTACAGAGATCTGGGCAGGGGGGGACCAGTGCTGTGGCTTCAGCTGGCAGCATGTGAATGGCCCTGCCTCCCGCCCTCCCAGCCAGCCTGGTGGCCTGTGGGGCCACGTGCAGGCCCTGACCTGGGTGCCGGGGCACGTCTCGGGCCACCTGGTAGTAGCGGTAGAACTGCTCCCTCCACAGGAACTCGTCCCGGGACACTGCCTGCCACTGGCGGCACACCAGACCGGCGGCCAGTACGTCCGCTGGGCCCAAGCTCAGGAAGATCTGGTAGATGAGGCTGTCAGGGAGCAGGGGTGTGCCCCCCTCGTCCATTGTGACATTCTGCCCAGGCAGCCCTGAAACCCACACGTGGTCCCTTAGTTGCCGGTTGCACTGGCCGAGGATACTGGCCCCAAGGGAGGGGCCCCGTGGCTGAGCTGAGGCCAGTGCCCTGCTGGGACTTCCATCGGACTGAGCCTGTGTAGAGGGCCAGCTGGCCCTGCCCACCTGTCTAAGGGTCCAGCGGCTCCTCCAAGCGCCCTGGACAGCCACACTCCTGGACCCCGTACTCCTGACGGGTGTCCCCGCACGTCCCAGTGGTTCCCTGGAACAGGCAGCTCCGGGCGGGCAGCAGACCCCGCTCAGCACCTCCCGTCGGGGGCCAGCCTGAGCTGGACCCCACATCTGCTCTGAGCCCAGAAGGGGCCGGTGGCGGGGTGGGGCCCTCCGACCTCCTCCCGCGCGGGGGCCCCGGGACACATTTGGGTGCCTGAGCTGGTGACTGCTCCGAGCCCGAGAAACGAAGACCCGGTGGCCCCCCACGCACTCCTGCCACTCTGACCCGGCAGCCCCAAGGCTTCAGACCTCTCAGCGTGGGACCGAGGTCCTTCCGAGCAGAGGCCTGGGGCCCGCGGGACAAGGGCCGGCCCGCCGGCCCCAGACGCCGCCCGGGGCACCAGCCGGCCCTTGGCCTCTGCTCTGTGGCCTGGGGGAGCCCTGCCCGGCGGTCAGCAGGCCAGCGCGGCCGCTGTCGCTGCCGGGCGAGGTGGGGGCGGGGCGGGGCGGGGCGGGGGCGGCCCAACGTCCCCTCCCCCCTCCCCTCTGAGGGGCTGCGGGGGGCGGGGCCTCGGCTCGGCCCCAGGCCCGGCGGCCTCGGCCACTCATTCATCGGCAGAGGGCGCGGCCGAGGCCGAGGGGCCGGAGGCTGGGGCTGGGCGCGGGGGGCTGGGCGCGGGGGGGCGGGGAGCCGGGGACCGGACGCGGCCGGTTTGCGCCCCTCCTCGGGGCCGGGAAACCGGGGGTCCGGGGCCGGACGACGACTTTCCCCGGGGCCGGGCGCACTCACCGCGGCTGCCTCCGCCCGGCTGTGCTGCCCCTGCCCCGGCGCCCGGCCTCGGCCGGCCGACCCGCTTCCGCCCCGCCGCTCCTGCCGCCGCGTCTCTATGATGAAGCCCGCCAGGCTGACGCCTCGAGCCCTGAGGCATCGATGGCCGCAGAGCGCCGAGCACCCGGCTGCCCGCCTCGGCTGTTGCTGCGCCTGCGCGCACTCGAGCTCGCGCCCAGCAGCGCCCCTGGCGGCCGGGAGGGGCATCGCCCTTGCACCGGGGCCCGTGGGCTGGGCTGAGGGCAAGGCTCACTTACTTTGAGGGTTCGAGACCCCGCCCCGCCTCTCCCAGCTGCTCGGGCCCTTGGGTTAGGGGGTTGTGGACAAGGAACCAGAGGTCAACTCGGACTTTGTAAACAGGATTTGGCCAGGGCCCTGCTGGGAAGTGCAGAGTCGAGGAGGCTGGGGGTGGACTTTCGGGGGGGCGGGCAGGGTGCTTGGTAAGGCAGGAGGACCAACGGGGACTTAGTGGGTTGGCGGTGGACGTCGCCGACTTCCTGTGCCAGGCTTCTGGGCGGAACTGGACAGTGGACTCTGACCCAGGACTCGGCCGTCCTGACCTAGGCTTCCCCCAGTCCCCGCACCGTTACTGCCACCGCCATGCTGACCCCCAGGACGGCACTCCTCTTGACTTTGCTCCTGGCTGGGGACTCCCTGAGCCAGAGGGCTCGGAGACCTCCTCAGCCCCCGTCCCCCATCAGCACCATCCCGCCAAAGGCCAACTTTGATGCTCAGCAGGTAGAGGGGGACAGGTGGGTGGGCAGGATCTCACCTAGCTTTCCAGGGGCCAGGGCCAGGCAGCCCCTCATCCCCGTGTGCCCTCACATGGCCTGCCCCTAGTTTGCAGGGACGTGGCTCCTTGTGGCTGTGGCCTCCACGTGCAGCTTCCTGCAGGAACAAGGCCACCGGGTTGAGGCCACCCTACTGCGTGTGGCTCCCCAGCGTGCAGCCATGGCTGTCAGCACCTTCCAAAAGCTGTGAGTCCCCCGCAGGGACCCCTGCCCCCACCCTTGCTGTGGCCTGGACCAGAGTCCTGTGAGGCCCTGCCCGGGTTGGGGTCCCTAAGCCTGCTGTGCTCCCCCGCCCCCCAGGGATGGGATCTGCTGGCAGGTGCGGCAGCTCTACCGAGACGCGGGAGTCCCGGGCCGCTTCCTGCTTCCAGGTGAGGCCAGGGCATCGGGGATGGGGTGCGGGGCTGGGGGGAGGAGCTGACTCTGCTGACTCTGCCCGGCTCCAGGTGCCCGTGCAGTGGACGTGGTCGTCGGAGAGACGGACTATGAGGGCTACGCCATCCTGTACCTGGAGCGGAAGCGGAGGCTGTCGGTGAAACTGTACAGTGCGTCCTTATGGGAGCCCACGCTCCGCACACACTCAGGGCCATCTGTGCGGGGAGAGGCCGCAGGGACGCACACAGACCCTCCTTGTTCTCCCCTCCTTGCATTCTGACTCCTCAGCTGAGCAGGGGTCCGGGAGGGGCCCTAGTGGATAGGCCCAGGTGTGGGGACAGAGGGGACGGGGAAGGGGATGGGTGTGTCCCAAGCACACAATCTCTGTGCCCGGCGTGGCCCTCACCGCGTGCCCAGGAGCCCTGTATGCCCCACAGCCCGCTCACTCCCTCCAAGTGACTCGGCGCTGAGTGCATTTGAGCAGCACGTCCAGAGGGCCAACCTGACCGAGGACCACGTCTTGTTCTTCCCTAAGTACGGTAAGCCTCCCCCAGCGGCTGGCCTTGCCCTCCCGCCGTGCGCCCTGCCCCAGCCCCACTGACCCCTGCTTGGGCCTTCAGGTTTCTGCGAGGCCGCAGACCAGTTCCACGTCCTAGATGGTGAGTGGGCAGTCCTGGCCGGGTGGTGCCGTGACAGGGGGCACCCCTCGCTCCTTCATGGGCTGAGTCTCGTCTCTGCCCCAGAAACAAGAAGGTGAGTTCAGGCAGCGGCCCTGACCTTAGAAGGAGCGAAGACCCTGACGGTGGCGGCACCTGCTACCCCCTCACTGAGCCCCGGCGCCCCACAGGGTCAGGGCCACCCCATGGGGGGACACTCTCCCCTGTGTGCCCTGAAGCTGCCCATCTCCCACAGAGCTCAGGAACGTGGCCTTCATTAAACACTGTCTGTCTTGGCCCCTGATTTCTTCCTTTCCCTGTTGGACCATCTTCTCATGGGCACGTGGGGCTGCTCCCCTGGGTGGGCTGGGGAGGAGCACGTGGCTGGCTCCCCTGGTCAAAAACCCTCCCCAGAGAGGCAGGGTGGTCCCTGCTATCCCAGTGCCCCGGTCTCTGCCTCTTAATTGGGCTGCTGCTCTGTGGTCCCAGCTGCCCTTCCCTGTTCCCAGGCTGTGGGCACACATGCACTGCTAGCCTTGCTGGGCTGCCCGGGGTAGGCCCAGGACCAGAGCCTGTCCCCCTCCCAGATGGTGGGGGACCTTTTCTAGAGGGATCAGGAGCCCTCCCCCCAGGTTCTCCTGGTCTCCCGCTGACCCTGAGCTCCTTCCTGGGAGGCATGGGTCCAGAGTCCCAGTGGCCCTCTGGCCTGTGGCAGGACAGGCCACTGGGGAGGGACAGGCAGACCCCCTCCCCTTTCCTGGATGTGGTACCTGGATCTGCGGGGAGCTGGCAACAGTCTTAGAAACAGGAGGCTGGACTGTCCCTGTGGCTACCCCAAGGGCTGGGACGGGCCTGGGAGCAGGACTGACCACCTGGGGCTGGGTCCAGTCCTGGTGTCAGGCAGCCAGGTGCCCCTTGGGGTAGATCACGAGATCACACAGGCAGGGAGCATAAGGAGGGTGTGGGGGTGTCTGGAGGAAGCAGGCCTGTCTAATTCAGGAGCTAGGTTTGGGGTGAGCACAGGAGCTTGGGGCACAAGGTGGGGGTGTCCGCACCGGGGATCTGACCAAGGTTACCCGCTATGAGGAACCAGGAGTTTTGCTCTGTAGAGTGCTTTGCTCTGTAGAGACCCTTCTGGAATTTGGGAACTCCAAGACCCATGGGGGATGGAGGCAGGGAGAGGGACGGGCTAAAAATGGGGTAACAATGTCCACCCCACCCCGTGCAGTGGCTGCCTGGAGAGGCCCGTGCAAGTGATGCCACACTGTCGCGGGGATGTGGAGTGCTGGGGCAGGTCTGCCTCCGGGGGCTCCCCACTACCCCCCAAGGTAGACTGCACGTGCTTTCCACACCCCAGGTCCCGGCTGACCTGCCAGGGGTTGCTGACACGGGGAGATCCCTAGGAGAGAAGAGTCAGGACCAGGGAGAACTGACCCTAGAGGAAACAGAAGCTACTCCAACAGTGCAAAGGGCACTTAAACAATTTCGAGTCACCCACATATGCCCTCCCCCCCAGGGTCAAGGTCTGCCCAGGGGGGTCCCGCCGGGTGGCTGCCCCGAGACTAGAGGAGGGGGTTGCAGCCCTTACCCGGTGCCAGGAGCCCCTCCTAGTGAGAACACGCCCCAGATCCTCCCAGCACCCTCCACCCCCCTTCTCATGAAACCATCTTCTGCATTGGCTGGAGGGCACTGGCCAGTTTCGACCGCTCTGCTGGCTTGGGAGCAGGTACCCTGCCCCACAGACGCCCACCCAGTGCCCTGAGGGGCCTGCAGGCCCCTGGGAAGGTGTGCCTGGGCTCTGAGGACGCCTCCTCCGTGGGGGGCAGCTTTCTCCCTTCCCTCCCCTTCTCGGCCTCCCCAAGCCTTGCTGGGCGAGATCCAGGCCCCCAGGGCTGTGAGTCAGCGCTTACCCAGGTGCTTCTGGACAGACATGTCCGTCCTGGAGACGTGTGCTTGCCTCTCCCTCAGTCTCCCCAGTGTCCCCTTGCGAACCAGGACGGGGGTGGGGGGTTAGCCTCCCTTCAGGAGAACGTGGGGAGGGTCTGAGGGCACAGGGCAGCCCCAAGCTGGGCCCAGGCTGGAGCTGGAAGGTCCGTCCAGGGAAATGGGCATTAGCTTGGCCAAAGCTGGGCCCGGAACTGGCCCCAAGCCACGCTGTCTTGGGGCCCCGGGCATCGATCTGACGAGTGTTTCTCAACGCTGGGCACACAGGTGGGACGGCTCCCTGTTCCTGGAAGCTCGAGGTCCAGAGCTCACCACTGACTGTGTGTGAGGCTGAGGGGGCGCTGGGGAGCGAGACCCCCCACTGGCCCCCATTTCCTCCCCGGGCTGCGAGGCAGTAGGGGTGAGCAGCAGGCCATCCCAGGGGCACCTCAGGGACCACTCTCTGTCCCAGCTCTGCATTCCCATGTGGCCCACTGGGACCAGGAGGGCGGGTTGGTGTCCTCGGGGAGACCCAGCAGCAGCCTTGTACGGGTTCCCTGTCGCCAGTGGGTGGCCATGGACCATACCCGACCCCACAGACTGCACAGT